GTGAGCTACCAATCGCGACAAATGAAACCCTCGGAGCGCAACTACCCGTAAACTTCTCGCGATGCGCTACGCTCTGATCAAGTTCAGAGTGTACCTCGTCGGCGAAGAGACATTCGAGGTGTATACAGACCATGCATCGCTGCGAACAGCGATGAAGAGTCCCCATCTCTCGCAGCGTATGGCTCGTTGGCTGTCGTTCTTCGCTGAATACAACTTCGTGGTCCACTACAAACCCGGCAAGAACAACATCCTAGCCGACGCGCTGTCGCGTCGTCCTGATTACGACCCTCGCAATAGCCTGGGCCACCAGCAGGCTAACGACGAAGATGATGAAGATGCCTGTGCCATGTGTGTAGCATCAGGTCTGAACCTGACGAATGTCGCCCCCGAACTAACCCTGCGCGCGGAGATCGCCAACGCGTACGAATACGATACCACGTACTCGAAGATCATGGACTACCTTCGTTCCCCCAGTGATGCGAAACTGGGCGAAATGTCCCACCACAGCAGTCGCAAATCGATCGGTATAGGATCGACGACAATCTACTCGTGTATAGCATCGACAAGTTCGATGCACCTCGAGTGGTGATTCCGAATGACGCCGACCTTCGCTCACGGATCATCCATGAGTTCCACGACGCTCCGATAGGCGGACATCTCGGCCGCGAGAAGACTTTCGCGGCGCTCTCGCGCACGTTCTTCTGGCCACACATGTACAAGTGGGTCCGAAAGTGGGTTCGAACCTGCGAAATCTGCCAACGCGTCAAGCCGTCTCCGTCGTCGCAGGCGCCACTGCGTCCACTACCAATCCCCACTCAAGCCTGGAGCTCCGTATCAATGGACTTCGTCTTCGGCCTTCCGCCCGATGAACGCGGGCGCACGGGCGTGCTTGTCTTCGTCGATCGCTTCAGCAAAACGGTCCATTTCGTCCCGGTCTCCGCGACGGTAACCGCGGAAGAGTCCGTGGTACACTTCATTTACACTTTCTTCCGACACCACGGGATGCCGGCGTCTATCGTATCGGACCGCGATCCGCTGTTCACGTCTGCGTTCTGGTCCAAGCTCTTCGAGATTGTGGGGACGAAGCTGAAGATGTCCACTGCAGCCCATCCGGAGACGGATGGCCAAACCGAGCGTGTGAATCGCGTTGTCGAGGATGTCCTTCGAAGTTACGCGACTTCTTTTCAGAACTGGAGCTCGTTCCTGCCACTCGCGGAGTTCGCGATCAACAACGCGGAGCACGCGTCGACGGGTCTCATACCATTCTCCATCAACAATGCGAGGCATCCTCGTGTTTCAGCTCTCCTGGCTGTGGGACCTCCCTCACATCCGCGTGGCTCCTCTCTGGGTGGGGGAGAAATAGACTGCGCGATCCCAGATTCTGGAGACAAGTCAGCGACTCAACCGCCGCCGTCTGCCATTTCGAGTCCAGCCCTCGCGGTCGCGAGCGCTAATGCGGTGACCCGCTTGCAAACACGGAAGATTCTCGTGACACCGCCTGACGCGGCGTTGCCTATCGCCGCGTGGACGAAGCGAACGCTGATAAATCCAAGTGCTGCGCTCCCCACCGCTCAACCCGCGTCTTCTGCGAACTACACACCGATCCCTTCGGCGCGACCCATCGACACTGAGAGAGTTGAGGACTTTGGCCTCCAGCGGCAAGCCATCGATCGATACGTGCGCGACGAACTTCAGGCCGCCGTTGATCGGCAGAAACTGAACGCAGACAAGCGCGGTCGCGAGAATATGATTAAGTTCAAGACAGAAGATCGCGTGCTCCTGCCAACTGAAGGCATTTGAAACTCCGCCGTCACCGACTTGGGCGCAAGCAAACTTGCGCCACGCTTTATTGGACCATTCAAAATTATCAAGCACATTGGTGACTCCTACACACTGAAGTTCCCGCCTTCAATACGGCTACATCCGACTGTCTACGTCGGACGGCAAAAGAAGTACCTCCCTGCTACGATTCCCGCC